TATTCTTTTCAACCACTCTTCCATTCTCATTGTCTGTTTTCTATTAGGTAAATGTTCTGAAATGTTGAGAAAACATTATAAAATAAAATAAATTTGCAATGTTTCTATAAAAACAAAAACAAAATCATGTATAATGTTGCCTTTTAAATGAAGTAAGGGGTGTATTTGGAGTGTGTGTGGGTGTTAAAAAGCAATTTAAAAAAAAAAATTTGTTGTTATTACAAGCAAGCTGTCCTAGGCCAATATACAATAATGCATTTGGCGTCTGTCTGCTGATTTCACACAGGTCAATTCTGCGCATAAGCCTCACCTCTGGTTTATCATTGAATTTCAAGGATAAATGGTTATTTATTTATGTTACTACAGACAGTGCCCTCAGATGACTGTCAATGACCAGGCATTACCATGTTTCAAAATAATGCTTCTTCCTGCTCCCATCAATTGTTTATTAAAAAAAGCTTTTTTGACTGCACAGGAAATTTGCTCGACATAAATGTTAAGCAGTCAGTATAGGAGTGCAACCAGCTGCAGAGGTACACGCTCATAGTGGATTTAATATATGCAACATGGATTGAAAATAGGCCTCTGATCTATTTGAAAACAAACTCCACTGACATCAGTCTGTAACCATAGTAACCATGAAGACTGATGATGATGCAGTGAATCTCAGGTTATGTGCTTCAACTATATCAAGTTGATTTGTATCCATTCTGTAAAATAAAACAAGCAAACACGTGTATAATTTTGTAATTTTTGTTTATCTATTATAATTACGATTCATATCAGAATTCACATAGATTATCCCTATATCCATCAGATATCTGAATGACATCAATTTGTTCACCTTACTGGAAATAGATTTTTTCAGCCAGGCTAGAAACAAATAATTTTTGGTTACTGATGACCTGTTTTATTATTAACGTGGTCAGTCGTAATGACGGCCGCTGGGACACCCTTGTTCTTTGCCTGTGCCCGGTTTGAACTCTTCAGTTCTGTTCAACATCTACATGATTTGTGCATGTTTGATTGGTTAAAATCAGAGGCAGACACACACTATCTTCAACCCATCTTGTTTAGTATTCCTACCAAAAACACAATGTGCGTCATCAGACAGGCTTGGAATGGATTATTCCATTTGCTACGTTTGTGATTACTAAGATGTGGCAGCATTCATGTTATCGTACACTGATGATTATCATTGAAAATTTTTTGGTGATATTACATCATGAAATTGTTTTCTAAGCTGTAATTTGTAATTCTCTTGGCATCTTTTTTTTTTCGTGATAAATTTCTGTAAAAGTGACTTGTCAGCTTGCCGCTGCAAATTTTCACTCAACATTGACACTTGCATTATCGTAGAGCCACTCACCCCTACAACAGTGAATGGTATATGCCACTGTTCACTTTTTCATAGTAAATAGTAAATCCCTATGGTACAGTGTGTCTCACGGGTTTGTCTGTAATGTTGCTTTTTCCTCGGCTCTGATACCATGTCAGATCATCATAATCGTGGCTCACTTTTCAAAGACAAATCATGACTGCAGAATTCAAACCACTTTCACCACAGGTACGTTGGATTTTGTCAAAATTACATTGCGCACATATCTCTTGGCAAGCTGTGCATGCGTGTGCAGTCGCTTGCTCACGTCTACACGCACGCTGATTTTACTGAAAAACCGGCTTCAAGGATGTCAAATACATTTCAACTATACATTTGTACCTCGTGCATATGTAGAAATACTGACTGACATCAACAAATTATTATTCTCAAAACAATCATCATAACAGGACTTCTATACTGAAACAAGGTCTGCTCGAGATCTTGCAAGTGGCATTGCTTCCTGTGTATCTGAAGCATAGCTTTTGAAATTGAATTCTTAATTCTCTTCTGAATATTCCAAAACCATGCAGTCACGTATCAATATGTAATCAGTCAGTCAAGAGCTTTGTTTCTTTTTTATTCAGAAAAATTAGTAACTTGTAAGAATGAAGATTTCACACATACTGTACGTATTTCAGTTCTGGTAATGCTTTTGTAACGCATGCTTATACATAGGTCTATGGTTGTAGCCCCTGTAACAAAATGCCGCGACCAACAACGACAAGTAAAAGAGCCCTCATTCGTTCCTTGTCTGGATCTATGAAGAGAATACGAGGACGGAGTGAGTATTATATATTTTTGTCCCCAGTTATGGATTCAGTTTGTTGGTACATTAAACCGTGTATCTGTGACCTCGCAGATTTTATGAATTAATCTATTGTAATTGCTACTGTGCAATGCATTTTGTTGTTACACCTGCAAATCTGCCATTCTTATATCTTTATTTTATCCTTCAAAGTTTGTGTTTTTAAATCCGTAATTTATTAGGTACATGGAAAATTGATATCTTAACAAAGGGAATGGACATGAAGATTTTTTTTTCTTTCATTGTTTATTCACATTCGTGTGCCGTAGATTGATTGATACCTCTTGTGCAATTTATAGAACAAGCTCTTGTTGTGAAGTTCGTGACTGCCAACTCGCTTTAAAGTCTAATTACAATACGATTCAATAAATATAGCAAGATGTAAAAGGGAGATACAATTAGGGTACAATATCAGTATTTTCATTAACACTATTCTTACCTTGGGTGCCTATTATTGTGAGTGTTATACACTGATCAAATTTCAGAATTGAGTTTGCATTTCGTAGTGTGTCTGGAAACCTGCACGTAAGCCACATGACATTCTGGATTGAAAAAAAAAAACTACTACATTTGGTACTCGTATAAGGTTGTTATGTCTTCTGTTTTCGAAATGTTATACATGGCTTGTTTGCTTATACTCAATGCAGTGCGCGAATAATACTATCCCAGAATCAGTATAAATATTGTAATGGGAGGAGGGGTGTATACATTTGATGTACACACAGTCCCAGTACACAGATGAATTAGTTCCAATTATAGGTTAATTATGCTTGCGTTTAATTGACCTAAAACTGTTGAGAACTATTTGCTCACATCATTTAGTCAAGCCTCATTAGACATTGGATATCTTGATATATAGCAGGTACGTACCGGTACGTTGTTGTTTATTTTGTGTAAATCGAACATTTTCAACGTTGTGCTCAAGTATTAATGAATTTATAGGTATTTTTCTTTTACATTTTAACTAATCGACAGCCTGATAAATTTTCAATGTTTTATTCAGGGGGTTGGATTCTGCATGTGTGATTATACAACTTAGGAAAGTATTCAGAAAAATTGCCTTAAGGATTATGCTACATCGGCTTTGCATTATTGAAAAAAATATACATATTAAAAGGTTATAACTTTGACTTTGTCTTAAAAGTACACCTTGACCTCACACTGTCATTTCATATATATTGACAGGTAAGCACGTGTATGTCATAGAACCCACTTAGTGTCTGTTTCTTTTTAATAATTCATGTATTTTAAATAACGATATATTATTTAATCATGTGCACTAACATGTACTGTATGTTAAATGGCAGTAGTTGTGGTGAAGCCTTCATTTGAATTTTGCGTAAACAAATTTATTTCACATCATTATATAGGCCACATGGGATGAGGCATGTTGTGCGACAACCACCTGAAACAGACGATGCGAAAGTTGAAGGTACTATTACTACCTGTAAATAGAGTGATAAATAATACCGTCAGTCTGAACAAACATTTTTGTGTTGAGTTTCACATATAATATAAACATCAAATAGAAACTCCCACATTTGGTCAGCTTTCAGTGTATATTATTTTGGTGTTCATTCCGTCTGGAGATTAAACCTGTAAACTTGTTGAGTGACAAAAGCCTTATAGAGTATCACTACCAGTGCAGACATCTTAACCATCATCTTAGGGTCTTGCAGATACCCTGGTATATGACAATAATTGTCCTACAGTGTTGCAAACAACCAACAAATGTGCAAACAACCTTTGTAGACAGAAAGACAGACAGACAGACACACAGACAGACCGACT